TTAAAAACAATCTTATCTTACATACCCATCCCAGTTCCCCCTCCCTCCCGTACTCCTATTTCCCCCCACAACCCCTCCCATCCCAACCCCCATCTACTCCTCAGGGAGGGTGAGGCCCTTCCATGGGGGATCATCAAAGTCTGTCACATCATTTGGGGTAGGACCTAGGCCCTCCCAGTGTATCTAGACTGAGAGAGTATCCCTCCATAGTGAATGGGCTCCCAAAGCCGATTTGTGCACTAGAGTTAAAATACTGCTTCCTTTGCCAGAGGTCCTCTAAACTGTCCAGGCCCCCCAACTGACACCCATGTTCAGGGGTCTGGTTCTGTCTTTATGCTGGTTCCCCAGTTGTTAGACTGGAGTCCCTGAGCTCCCACTCTTTTCAGGTCACCTGTTTCTGTGGGTTTCCCCAGCATGGTCTTGATCCCTTTGCTCATCACTCCTCTCTATGCAACTGGATTCCAGAAATTCAGCTCAGTGTTTAAGCTGTGAATCTCTGCTTCTGCCTCTATCAGCTACTGGATGAAGGTTCTAGGATGGCATTTAAGGTAGTCATCAATCTAATGATAGGGGAAGGGCCTTTAAGGCAGCCTCTCCACGATTGCTTAGATTTTTAGTTGCTGTCAGCCTTGTGGATTCATGGAAATTTCCCTAGTGCTAGGTTTCTTGTTAATCCCACAACAGCTTCCTCTATCAAGATATCTCTTTCCTTGCTCCCTTCAGTTCTTCCCCCAACTAGATCTTCCTGATCCCTCATGTTCTCCTCCTCCTCCCCTTCTCCCTTCCTCTTTCTTCTACCTTCCTCCCCCCTCTCCCCATGCTCCCAATTTACTTATCCCTTTCCCCTTCTCAAAGGATCCCTGAAAGTCTCCCTTAGGGTCCTTCTTGTTTCCCAGCTGCTCTGGGGTTGTGGATTGCAGGCTGGTTATACTTTGCTTTATGTCTGATATCCACTTATGAGTGAGTACATACCATGTTTGTCTTTTTGTGACTGGGTTAACTCACTCAGGATGGTTTCTTCTACTTCCATCCATTTGCCTGCAAATTTCAAGATTCCATTGGGTTTTTTTCTGTTGAATAGTACTCCATTGTGTAAATGTGCCACATTTTGTCTATCCACTCTTCAGTTGAGGGGCATCTAGGTTGCTTCCAGATTATGGCTATTAAAAATAATTCTGCTATGAACATAGTTGAATATATCACCTTGTTGTGTGAATGGGCATATTTTGGGTCTATGCCTAAGAGTGGAATTACTGGATTTGAGGTAGACCGATTCCCATTTTCCTGAGGAAACACCATACTGATTTCCAAAGTGGATGTACAAGTTTGCATTGCCACCAGCAATAGAGGAGTGTTCCCCTTTCTCCACATACTATCTAACATAAGCTGGCATTGGTGTTTTTGATTTTAGCCGTTCTGACAGGTGTAAAACAGTATCTCAGAGTTGTTTTGATTTACATTTCCCTGATGACTAAGGATGTGGAACATTTCCTTAAATGCCTTTAATCCATTTGAAATTCCTCTGTTGAGAATTCTCTATTTAGATCTGTGCCTCACTTTTTTTTTTTTTAGAGACAGGGTTTCTCTGTATTGTTTTGGAGGGCTGTCCTGGAACTCGCTCTGTAGACCAGGCTGGCCTTGAACTCACAGAGATCTGCCTGCCTCTGCCTCCCGAGTGCTAGGATTAAGGTGTACGCCACCAACGCCTGGCTTGTGCTCCACTTTTTAATTGGATTATTTGGTGTTTTAGTGAATATCTTGAGTTCTTTGTATATTTTGGAGATCAGCCCTCTGTCAGATATGGGGTTGGTGAAGGTCTTTTTCCATTCTGTGGGCTGCCGTTTTGTCTTGTTGACTGTGTCATTTGCCTTATAGAAGCTTCTCAGTATTTGTTAATTGTAGATCTCAGTGTTTGTGCTGCTGGTGTTGTGTTCAGGAAGCAGTCTCTGTAATTTTTAAAGTTTGGCCCTTGAAAGGATTCATGAGGTATAAAGATTGGTAGTTCAATTTAAGAAATGATCCTAATTTAGAATAACACTAAAAAATTTCTAATACAAAGAACATCAAAATGGAGTAAGAGAAACTTATAATTAATATACTAGCCTATAATATGATTCTGTTTGGTAGACCAGGAGTGCTACAAAGTTTGATTTTTGTTTACATGTTTATAAGTTCCCCAGAGGTTGGGAGAAGATTCTGTGGATAACTTGAATTGGGATCCCCAGCACACGTGGGAAAACACTGCACTTATGCAGTCTCAGTGCTAAGAGGCAGAGACAGGTGGAACCCTGCGACTTACTGGCAAGCTAATGCAGCTGAAACCGAGAGCCCCCAGGTCCAGTAAAAGACTCTCTTAGAAAAAAGGTCCTATTGAGGAAAATATCGTAATGTCAGCCTTTGGCCTCAACACATCCCCACACACATATACTTTCTATCACAGACATAACCACAGTTCCCCATTTCTTTTATAGATGTTTTGCATCATTTGAAATGAAATTGATTTTTGTTATGCATTATACAAAGGAGTAGATTTCATTATAATATTTGCATACATTCATGTAATGTGCTCTGATCATATTTACACACACACCTGGTACTCTTCCTCACTCCCCTTCCCCTGAAATTCCACATATAAAAAAGGGATGCTTGTCTTTTGGGTGTGACTTATTTTATTTGCCACAATAATATCAAATTCCATCCATTTTTCTATAGATCACATGACTTGGTTCTTTTTTGTGGCTGGTTAAAACCCCAGTTTATAATTATGCAACATTTTCTATATCTATGAGATGAATTTTAATAATGAGTTCTATTTTGATTTGTGCTTTCATTATAACATTTGAAATATCTTTCCAGGGTTTTTCAAAATTATACTATTATAAAATTAATTCTTAGTGGAGAACTGGACATGCCTTTTTTTCATAGAATTGTTAATTATTAAAGTGAATGTGGGTGTCAGTGAGGAGGCCTCGGCAATCTATGGGGCCTTGGGTAGTAGATCAGTATTTATCCTTGGCATACAAATGGACTTTGGCTGCCCATCCCACAATGAGAGATGCGCTCTTAGCCTGGACTCTTGGGGGAGGGCCTAGGCCCTGCCCTGGATGAAATGACAGACTATGGACACCCCCATGGAGGGCCTCACCCTCCCTGGGGAAAAGAGTGGGGAGGGGGGTTGGTGGGAGGAGGAGAGAGAGAGAGGGAGAGGGAGCTGGGATTGACATGTGAAGCAACGTTCCTAATTTATTTATTGGTTTTCATAAGACAGGGTTTCTCTGTATTGTTTTGGAGGCTGTCAGTCCAGCCAGGCCTCAAACTCACAGAGATCCACCTGCCTCTGCCTCCTGAGTGCTGGGATTAAAGGCGTGCACCACCGCCGCCTGGCTATGTTCCTAATTTAAATTTAAAAATAAAAAAGACCAAATGTAAATAAACAAATAAAACTCCAAAAATAAAAAAAATAAGTAAAGTGAAGTAGCCTAGACTCAGAAAGGTAAATACCACACATTTTTCTTTTAAGTGTGGATCCCAGATTTTAACTTTTTTAAATTTAAATTAGAAACAAGCATGCTTTACATGTCAATCCCCGCTCCCTCTCCCTCCTCTCCTCCCCACCCCCCCAGCTAGGCCCCTCAGCCCCCCACCCAATCCCCATTCAGATCCCCAGGGAGGGTGAGGCCCTCCATGGGGTATCTCCATAGTCTGTCCTTTCATTCAGGGCTGGACATGCCTTTTTAGTGGTATATTTGGAAAAGAATTTATTGGTACTGTCATTGATTATATTTTTTTGCTTTTATTTTATTCCACTCTACACATTGTATGTCTTTCAGTACATAACACTTTCTTGTTGCAGAATATTTGTTTAGCTATGCAAAGATATGTTACATTTGCTGTTAACTTCCCTGCCAATGCATCCGATTTGTCTAGTAAAAAGCTGAACGGCCAATAGCGAGGGAAGAGATATAGCTGGAACTTCCAGGCAGGGAGAATACTAGGAGGAGTAATTTAGGCTGGGGGAGGGGAAGGAGAAAAGAAAAGGAGACCTACCACAGGGAGATGGGCCAGACAGACAGACATGTAAGAATCAGGAAAGTAGGATATATAAAATGAAAGAAAGGTAAAAAGCCCCGAGGTAAAAACCTAGATGAATAGAACAGGTCAAGTTAAAATTTCTATTGGGATATGCCTAAGCTAAGGCCAAACATTCATAATTAATAATTAATAATAAGTTGGGAGCTGATTGGCAGCTCAAAGAAAATTCCAGCCACGCTTTCTCTTTGTACATATGAGTTGAGAAGTTTTATCAGACTATAACATTTCACTTTTCTGAAGGGTTCTTATACATGATATTATATTCTCTAACCTAAACATTTTCCAAGTCTAGGCAATATAAATTTCTACATGCAAAGATAAGTAGTTTAGATTTCCTGGAAATACTATATATGCTCTTTTGACTCCCATTTTATGGATTTTGACATAGTTTAAGAGTCAGTCTAAGCCAGCATTGTTCCCTAAAAAGTTTCATGGAATCTCTGTAAAGGATAGATGAGTTGTTGTTAACTTATCAACCAAGTGTGTGTAATGAGTTCTTCTTTGGGCTAATAAATGTTCTTTGACCCCTCCCACCACCCTCTTGTGTGTGTGTGTGTGTGTGTGTGTGTGTGTGTGTGTCTGTGTGTCTGTGTGTGTACATTTGTGTGCATACACAAATGATTTTATAAGCTTCACTACTTTATGTTTTACAAAGTTCTCTTTAGCTACTATTTACCTTTGGTTATTACTATACTTTTTCTTTTAACTATCCTTCATACACATTTAATTTATGTGACATGATACATTTATTTTACCTGTACCCTCATTACTGGGTTGTAAATTCACTTAACAGAGGAATCAGGATTTGCTCAGTCACTACTATCCATGATACTAAATTTGTGTTTCCAATATGAATAAAACAAGTCTGATGAGCAGGAAGTCAGGATGTTTTTGTTTTTGTTTTTCAGATTTGGTGCATTTGACTTGCATGTCTTCTAAAACAGCAAGAGAAGATTTAGAACAAGTAGTACAGAAATTGTTTACTCCATATACAGAAATGGAAACAGGTAAGAAAAGAGGTGGTGGTAAGTTAATGTAACATATTCCTCTTAGCTCATGAACTGAAGTGAAGCTGAATTAAAGTTAAGTATTGAGCAATAACTCCCACATACTTATTTGCTAAGGATTTTGAACACAGTCATTGTATAAATAAGACAAGAACGGTTCAGTCTTTATTGTTAAAGGAAACTAATCACACAAATAGACAAAAAACCATTTATTATCAAAGTATACATTTATATGCATATATACTCACATGCCCAGGAAAAAGAAAGTATTGTTGGAAATTTTCTCAATTTTGGTAGTATTACAGGCACTTTTTCATAACTATATGTGCTTTACAGGATTTTCATGAAAAAGCATATATCCCTTGTTAAAATTTTGCTTATAAATGTTTATTTAACTTTCCAAAGACTAAAATATAAATTAGCAAGTATATAAGTCCTATTAAGTAATTACCTTTAAATGCTTTTTCTATGCCAAATACTTATTTCTACAAATTATAGCTGCTTCTGACTCATAGTTAAAGAATACTTTTCCACTTTAAATTTTTAAATTCATCCCCCTATAATAGGGTATAACTAATAGCTCTGAGTGGAACAAATATCACATATGTAGTATGTAGGTGAACAAAACTGTAGCGTAATAAATCTTCTTCATGTATGTAAAGTAAACGTAATTTTCATTAAAGCATTTTCGTGTTCACTTGATTCCTTTCACTTCTTCCATTCTTATGTTGCCATTGTCTTCCGTTGACACATTTATTCAGATAGCCAACCATTTGTTTTTATTCCTACTGGTTCTGTTTATTTTTATCTCCTGTGTGTTGTTAGTATGGAGATGATGCTGAGTGAGATATAAACATTTATGTATAAGACAAAGTGTTCCATTTAAAGCTGTTAAAGTAATGTAATTTCTTTGTGAAATCCCCAGTTGAAAAAATTCTTTCAATCTAAAAAACTTCACTTGAGTTTAATTTTGTTTTGTTTATGTATACTTTTATTTGAATGTTTTGTATAAATGTTTGAGTTACTGTTAAATATTTGTTTGCAAAGTTATAATATACACAACCATATCCCTCAACATAATGTAGAAACATAGTTGTATCTTCAGGCTTTAATTGAATCTATGTCTTGCTCATAACCATAAGTATCATTTTCATTTCTGAAATTTTTCAGTGTTTCTGTTATAATTTCAGTTTGAGTGTGCCAAATAGTATACTAAACATATCATTATTTCTCACTTTCTAAATGGATTTATCTTTGTGATTTACAAAATCAAACTGGCAGAAATTGCATGTTCACTAACTAGCATCCAGTAGCCATTTTAGATTTTTGAGATTAATCTTAATGGTTAAAGTGATCCCGGTTTGAAATGATGTATTGTTTGGAACCTAAGTGAAATTCTTTAGCAAGAACTATGCCAGAGAGGTCCTCAGGTGCACCGAGGCACTGCAAAGCTAGTTTTCACTGACACATGGGCCTTTTTATCATCAGGATGAGGTAGTGGTCATATTTTAATTAAAATGTCAGAACAAATACTGTTGGAGTTATTGAAAATGAATCACCAGATAAAGTGAGCACTGGGCCATGGCAGGTCAAAGAGGCAAAGTCACCTGCAGAAGAGAATTCAATTCATTTTCCTGCCTAAATGAGGGAGAATCAACTTTATGAGCAATAGGAACTTTTAATACATTAAAACACATTCTTCACTTGTAAAAGCTTGTATTTTTACAGGCTTTTATTTTGTTTTGGTTATTTGACCCTTGCCTGAAACTTTGTGGTTTAGAGCTTTGTAAATATTTTTGCTGAAACTTGTAGCAACAGAATAATGTTATGGCCTTGTTTTTTTGTGTTTGGTTTGTATGTTTTGTTTTACATTCTGTATCGTGTTGTACATCATAAACCTTTATGAAAATTCGCCTCCTCACCTTCCAAGGAAGTTCATTTCAGAAAAGGATGATGTTCTCTTTAACCCTATAACACTGATTAACAGTGTATGTGGGGAATTGTAGTGAGGTTTTAAAGACAATACTTGTCTTTCTTACCTTTCTGGTTCATGGGTAGCAGCCAGAGCTCTTCAGACTATGCTCTCCAAAGAAATAATTGAACTTTTACCCACCCACCAGGTTCCTTTAAGCACATCAGATATCTCTAAATCCTTGTCTGCTTTTTAGTCTAAAGAAAGCAGATGATTTATGCATAATAAGCTTCATTCTGTAGGTTAAAAACTAAGGTCATTGCTTACAATTCATTTTGTTGTTTGGAATATCCTTGGAAACATTGAGATGTGATAAACTGAGTGGTATGTGATCCTCATTGCAGAACTTACTGATTTCTTATTTTACCCAAAAATACAAGAGTTTTCAATACAAGGTAAAGCAAGAATTCTGCAATGGCTAGCTTTTCTAGCTGAATCAGTGAGCTTGCAGTCCATTGAGAGACCCGACTCAAAAACTAAGGTGCCTTAATCAGGATGCTTAGAGCACTCCTTGTAAGGCTCAGGGAACGTTAAGCACAGAGAGCAGAAAGAAAGAGAAGAGTTAAGTGCTGTTGTCAGGGCACGACATAGCAAATGTGATCTCACAGCAGCTGTGCTTGCCTAATGTCTAGAATGTAGTGTTATCACAGCGTCATCTTTCTTATTTCTTTTCCCCTCCATTCCACCTGGTTAGTGCAGTTCCTCATTCCATTGTAGTCATTTCTATCTCTGAGAGCAAGACTTTCTAAAAACAATTTCCCTTCATAAATGAAGTATGAATTTTGTGCTAGGGAAGGATATTAAATACTTGCTGTACCAGGAAATCAAGTGCCATATCTTAATTTCGTGTTTTTTTTTTTAATTTCACTTTTATGTTCCAGGGCTTAAGCAGCCTAACTAAATTCAACTTAACTGAATTAGTTTGCTTGTTCCCATCACATGGCTTGCACTTACAGACCCTTCTTGCTTTTATTTGGTTTGCCTTCACTCTTTCCTTTTACCTGCTTTATTCAGTACATACACTTGTTTAATTAACACAAAATCTTATTCTGTGTCATCTACTACTTCCTTGGTCTAGCACACCATCTAACTGATTGAAATGAGCTATTGTTTAGCATCTTTCATAGTTTTGACAATTATTTGCTTCAGAGTGCATATTATTTTTCCAGCTCTTGCTCTGCCTCCGGCTGACCTCCGAGAAAGATGAAGCAATTACATGTCTCTTTGAAGCTTCTAAGGTCAAAGCTTGATGGCTCCCTTGTATCCAGACCATTGATCTTCAGACTATGTCAATTTTCACTTTCAACATAGTTTCTTGTCAAAGCCTTAACCTTTGTGAAATCTCTTTCCTAAAATCTGTTGGACTATTCATTTCCCCTGTCGTGTATTGAATGAAACCTCTCCTCTGAGGCAGAGAACATTTATGTAGTAAAAGATAGGCTCACCTGATGTATACCTAGTCAGGACCTGGGCCCTACTAAAAGCCTTCTGCACCTGAGCTCACTTCCCTGCTGTGTTGTTTGATGCCATCACACTTACGTGGCATTTACCTGCAGGATTTGATGCTTGACACTTGGTGTTTTTAAGTAAATTCTCAGATGATTTCAACTATGAAATATCAGTTTCTTATATTCTTTTGTTACTTAGTAGTTTTTGTTAATATTTCCCTGCATGAATTAGTGGTACCTCTGACCCAAATCTCTTGGCATCAGTAAGAGATCCCTTGGGGCTGCAGAGAGGAATTAGTGATTTAGAGTGTCTGCTTTTCCTAAGAACCTGGCTTCAATTTCTAGAGCCCGCATGATAGCTCACAACTGTCTGTCACTCTAGTTCCTGAGACATTTTATGCCCTCTTATATCTTTAGCATTTTCTTTGTGATTCACACTGTGTCTCACAGAGGTGGACTATTTTCCTAAACATTCCTTATTATCATTATGCAGAATTTGACCTTTTGGCCGAGTTGGGATATTAACAGCAATATTTTCTGTCTTCAACCAAAGAAACTTTAATTATAACATTTTAAAAGAAGAGACACAGAAGAATGGTCGTTACTATATTAAGAAATAGGCTATAGGAATTGAGGTTAACAAGCCTGAACCTTTCTATAAACACATTTTGTTTTGATTATTGACAATAGTACTAAAATCAATTTATAAATTATTTAGTGAATGTCTTTTGTGTGCTACTCCCTGTGTTAGGAGAAAATTTCAAAACGGAGGACTCAGAAGTGAGTCTACTCCATCTGTATGCCCCCAGATCCTATTTCATTGCCTAACATGCATAATGGATGCCTGCTGTTCAGTGAGAGAACTTGTACTCGAAATGACATTCAACCTATTGGCCTTATGTGTTTGATAATTGTTTTTTGTTTGTTGGTTTCCATTAATCCTGTAATCCAGTAACATAAAGCATTAGAATAAGAGTTAAAATATATCATTTTAAATTCTGTATGTGTTATTTTCAATGATATTTTTAGAGATATTCATATGAGTAAGAGTTAGAATATATCATTTTAAATTCTGTATGTGTTATTTTCAACGATATTTTTAGAGATATTGTTCATATGCCACAAAATTTTCACATGGGTGAAACACCAAGTTTTAAAACAGATATTCACAAAATTGTCTAAGCATCTCTAGAAACAACTATACCACATTTCTGTTTCTTCCCTCTGACAAAGAAACTCGATATCCATAAATAGCCACCTGACCCTTGTCCCCAACTCCCCCTCCCTGATTTCTAAGTACCCATTAATTCCACTCTCTGTGTGTTTTTCTTTTTTCTGAATAATATCCTATTATATAATTATCTCATATGTATATACTATTAAGTAGCTATGTAGCATTAAGTTGTTTCATATGTATATACTATTAAGTAGCTATGTAACATTAAGTTGTTTTTCTATTTGAAATTTGATTTGTGGTATCTTTTCACTTAGGAGATATAATTTAAGGGCGGGTATGATTGTAAGAACTGTAATATTTTGTTGCATTTGTTTATTTGTTTGAGTGTGCACGTGCACACAGCACTCCATTTAGTCAGAGAACAATTCAGGATTCGTTTCTCTCCTTCCGTCCTGTGGGTCCCAGTGCTTGCACACCAGCCCTCAGGCTTGGTAACCAGTGTCTTAACCTGCGGAGCCATCTTGCCAACCTTCCAAATAATTTCTAAAATCTAACTTGTCCTGGATGGAAAAACTTTCATTGTTTGAAATGCCATATACTTACCTTAGAGTTTGTCTTTTCATATTCAGTAATTACTTATATATAAAAATATCCTATGTGCTATAATGTCTAGTCATGCTTTTATTGTTATTTGGCTATTAGTATAGTAAATTATGGTTTTCAATGTGATAAAATTTATTTCTACTACTAGAAAATGAACACGTTGAAAAGCCAAGAATTCTATGGGCACTCTACTTCAATATGAGAGATTCTTCAGATATCAGCAGAGATTGTTATGATGATTTACCATCTAACGTTTATGTGTGTTCTGGCCCAGACTCTGGTCTAGGAAATGACAATGCAGTCAAACAGGTAAGCCACTGGTGTTTCTCAGTTTTGTTTTAAGAAATTGACATACTGAGATAAATGAGGGGTTTTTATCATCCTTGGAGGAGGGAAAAAATAGTAAAACATCTTTCTCATTTAATATTGATTGGCTTTTTTCTGTGAACTACAGTGCTACTTTAAATATACTTTATGAGCTATTTTACCTCCTTGAATTATATAAGGAATTATAAAGACTTGTTACAAGTACTACTTTGAGAATAAATAATGAAGATGTTAGAAATATATATTCTTAACATGAATTTAAGATGTTAGTGTTGTTAAATATTTCTTCTAACATAAATAGTTGGATTATTGGTGCATATTTTGAAAAAAATAAATGTTAATCTCCAACAACCTGAGCCATTTCCAGAAGTATATAAGATAATTTTACAATGTTCTAATGCATTTCATAGTCTTGGAAAAAGAATGAATAATGTCATTTTAAGTAATTAACATAGTACCATTAATGTTTTGACTCAAGCCAGTGCACCCCAAAGCTGCTGTTATAGTTGCCAAGAAGTGTGTTAAATCCAAGTGGGCTAGTCTGGGTAGAGCTGTGTAAAAGTACACACTTCTTCTAGGTGCCAAATGTAAACTCTGATTCCATTAAGCAGAAGATCCTTAGAGCATATTAAAAAAACACATTTTTCCCTGATAGAAAGAAAGAAGGTATGCTCTGAGGCAAATGTGAAAACTTTTAGTAAATTTTGTTCTTCAAAATTTCATGTATGTGCATTGTATATTCTAAATACTTTTCATCTACACTAACTACCAATCTCTCTTCCCTATTTACCAGTTTGGGTTTTATGTAATGCCCTCACATAGTTTACTAAAGGCCAAGTATGTGACTGTAAGTTTGAAACCCTCCTTGAGGGCCTGGACTATTGAGTATGCAACTGATACGCTGCCTCCCCACTCCTAGAATCTATTGGTTGCCAATAAATCAGCAGTAAGCTGTAGATCACCTTGAGTCTCATCTCCTTCCTTACCTGACAGTTCTGAGGGCCCAGTGAACACAGCTGCTATTAGTTCATGGTTGCCATACCTCTATCTTTTCTACTTACAAGATGATATTTCACATCTTTCTACCCCGTTGTCTTCAGTTCCCTGAGCTTTATGGAGTCAGAGTGGGGGAGTAACTGTGAGACCACAGAAGACATGGATTCAGTTATGTTCTCACCAGTAGCAGTGATGTTTTAGTACTAAGTGGTCTTTGAATCTTTAGAATACCTTTTAGTTACAGCAGTAATGTTATGAACAGTGGTCCAGCCTTTTACCATAATTTTATATTTTTCATTGGAGTCTAATATTGGTTGTGGAAAATTATGCTTGGCCATGATGTCAAATGAACAGGAAATTACAACTCCTATCCATAGCTCAAGATTTGCATTCATGGCTTAAGCTAATAATTTCATTTTTATTTTAGTGACCCATTTTTTTTAAAGAAGCAATCTTCAAAAAGCCTTTAGCCAATTAAGTTAGGTTGGTATTTTTTCCTGAGTAAACAGAACATTTTGTAAACCAAAATAGGATGATTTTCAAATAAGGATTTACAATACAAGTGCTTTGTGAACTATGCTGCATACTAGAAGATTACAGCTAAGGGACTTTTTTTTCATGCAGTAATTTTCTTCACAAAAAGATAACTTTCATAGGTTATATGAAATATAATGAAGAAAACAGCATTGTTTGTTTACCTACTAATTAACATGTTACACCTTATATCTACTTGAGGAAAAATATGCCTTCTTTTAAGAACATCAGTAATATTTATAAATTGCCAATTTATTCAGATAAATTGAGCTCTAATTCTAGTATATCATCATGTGGTTATCTCAGTCACCTATTGGCAACTTCGATTTCTAAGTAAGGAAATTATTCACGAACTCCCTCAGAGTACTGTCATGGCTTTGCATATATAAAATACACAGGTCCCTGCAGAATTGTAACGTGTGTGTTTATTTTTTTAACTAAAAGTCTACATTTTAGCATTTGGAAATTTTGCACCCTTTCTTATTATTGCATAGAGACAGAATTTCTAGATCTGACTTTCTTGGATGCTTATGTGACAGTTTATGACTTTAAGATGCACTGATTACATACACATTGATGATACTACTTGATCTGGCTTCAGAAGCCACTGGTTCAAATATGTGTAGTGACAATGAACACCTTGCATGGTGGGACATGATAGATGTGGAGCATGTCCCATTCAAATCAAAGACAAGCAGTACAGTTGGCGAGATTAACATGTTGGCCTGCACATGATGTGCGCATCATGTTTAAGAAAGTGATAACCACCTTTTAGTGAAGCAAAATGTATGAGAGCTGGAATTTGAGAGAACCGAGAAGGTAAGACCAGAGAAGGTAGGCGGGAAGATTTTTATAATGCAGTAGTTAGGGCTGTCAGTTTTATCAGTAATGGCGTGGTTGTAATCTGGAAAGTGGCATAAAGAGAATTTTGTTTTCAATAAACACCATTGAGAATGACATAGAGATGGATTATGGTAAGAGGCAGGGTCCTTGAGGCAAGATAACTACTCTAGTTTAGAAACTGTCTCGTTGACAGATGGTACATGCTGGAACTTTGTCAGTGGGGAAAAAACAGAGTTTAAAAATCAGAAAATGACATTCCCGTGATTTGGCAACTGTTCGTATGAGGAAGTAAAGGGGAGGGAGAGTTTCTACAGACAGAATAAAAACACGGGACAAAAGGCCATCGGGGAGAACTGTGAAGTCTGTGGTAGAAGAGGCCTCAATTTCGGTCTTCAAGCCTCTACAGTAAGAGCCACGATTCTCTAGCAAAGACATGTGGTGAAATCTCAGGGTAAAGAACAAAGAAAGATATGTAAGATATTCATAGTAGACAGTACAGAGTTAACCGTGATCACTAAGCAACACGTTAGATCCACAGCAGGTAGTCATCTTGTTTAGATCGTCTGATAGCTATCTCCGTATTGCTCTCACTTTATACTTCCTGACCATTGTTTCTGTGATTCATTTATATATATATATATCATATAGTATTAATCTTTCTGTGTCTAGCTTTACCATTTAGTGCCCTTCAGGTAATATTATCATAGATGAGGGGATTGATTTTGTTTGTGGAAATGTTATAGGAGACCAGATGGTAAGTGTTCTAACTGCAAACATCCAAAATTGTAGCCATGAATGTTTTTATTTTTAATTAGTATTAAAAGTATTTGGTATCATTGTGGCATTTTCAAACAAAACTTAATTTTTATCACTTCTAGTTTGAGTCAGTTTGCTTAATGACCTTTCCAAATCCAAGTGAAGGCATGTTTTAGTTCATTAGATTTTGGTAGCAATTATACTATGTATGCCAAGATGTTATCATATACATATACATTCAACTAAATGTTTATATTTTTAAAGTATATACATAGTAAATGCTCTGTTTCAAAATATGTATACACTTGAAGCATACCTAAAATTCAAATTGATTTCAAATCCATATTAAATGCAAGAAATGGCTCTGTGGGTAAAGGTATTTATTGCCATGAAGGCCTGACAACCTGCGCTCAAATCTCAGAACCCAAGGTAGAAGGAGAGAACAAATTCTGGAAAGTTCTCTTCTGACCTCTATATGTGTGCTGTGACACATGCACACACACACACGTTATACACATATGTAATAAAAAATAATTCAAGTCAACTTTGAAGTTTCAAAGTTTCTGTTATTACCCTTCCACCAAATTCATCTAGCAAAGGTATCCAGAGGGTAAGTATTTAGGTTCTACAGCAATTTTTCAGCTCTGCCATTAAAGAGCAAAAGCAGCCATAGATACTAGGTAAAATAATGAGAATTGTGTTCCAATAAACCTTGACTTAAAAGCAAGAGGTGGTCTGGATTGGATCTTTGGGCCATAGGTATTCATGTTTTAGCCAAATAGATGACCTTGCATGTGTATTACAAAGAAAGGAGAAGCAGTATAGGAAACTAGTGTGTTCATTAACACCTAAAAATGACTCTTCCTTACCACTTGCCTAGAGTAGAAGCTTCCTAGCATGACACAAAGCTTTAACAGTGAAGTGGACTATTGCCACTTGTCACATTTACTATCTGTTATTAGCATCATGTTTGCTTTTTTATTCTCTTACCTTGTCCTTGATTATGTAAGTTTTTAAAGATGTGATTTTTTTTAGGTAGTGCCACAAATGCACATATATTTTAAGCTGTTGTCCAAAAACTAATTTGTCTTTTCATCTTTGACTAGGCGGAAACACTTTTCCAGCAAATCTGTCCTAATGAAGACTTCTGTCCAGCCCCACCAAATCCTGAAGATATTGTCCTTGATGGAGACAGCTCACAGCAAGAAGCATCAGAATCCAGTGTCATACCAGAGGCCAACTCAGAGACTCCCAAGGAAAGTACAGACCTGGGAAACCCAGAGGAGCCCTCTGAGTAGTGGATATGCAGACTCAATATCCTAATTTGGAAATTCCTCTTGACCCCATAGTCTTCTTGATGAAAGGAATATATGAACTCTTATAGCAAGCAACAACCAGTAGGCAAAATGATAAGAAGAAACCGGTCCCAGAAATCTAAAGGGGAATTTTCCTCAAAACTGACATTTCCAGGAACATAAAACACTTACAAAGCACATTGACTTGCTTATTTAAAGACAACAAACCTGTAAGATTAGCAGATGAAAACTATAAATAGGTTAACTCCTGGGAATGTAGCTGTGATGTGAAAAGGATCCTATGCATTGTTAGTAATTATGTGGCATTCATGGAAATGTTTTGCCACTTGGGATCTTTTTTGTTGAAAGTCACATCTGGAGAATTTGAATTATATTTTCATTCTGGGTGTGCTATAACAGGTAAAAGCATATGTAAATACAGTAGAGTAAAGCTAAGCTATCATAACCTGGCCAGGAGCCTATATTTGGGGTAAAAGTTGTTCTTTAGTTTCTACGTTAAAAACTGAAATTGTTAATACTAAGGTGTTCAGATGTTTTGTTAATCATTATTTGTTAGTAATTAGTGATTAGGGTGTAATATTATATACATTGGTTAAAGTTCAAAGATGAAGAAATGTAAGAATGGAAACAAGATCAATAGTCCTTCCTGATTCTAAGTCAGAGTAACTGAAGCACTAACCTCCTTGGTCACAGAGCTAATCTGATATTAGGCAAATTGTTTTAACTTATCTTCACTTTCTCCAGATTCAAAGTAGAATACTATGCCTAGTGTATCAGAGTGGTTATGAAGATAAATGCAGCACACCCCTTAGAATGGTTCTTCTGGAAAGATACAGTTTTGGAACTTTCCCATTGATGGAACTGTGGATAAATATCAACCTAACCTCTTGATCACAGTGTTATATTTATTGCGTTCAAATTTTTAACATGCAGATCTGTTTCCTAAATTTATTAGTTACAAGTGTAATGGTGGTTTTTAAAGACTTAGAAATACTTCATAAACTCATATTCCTCTTCTGGCAACTAAACCTGAAACCATCGAGAACTGAACAGAGTATGATACGACAGTTAATAAACTGTAATACACACTTTACATGAAAACATGAGGGCTATCTATACATTGGCAGCAAACCTATTTGCAATGCCTGCATTTAAATTTCTCCAAGCTCTGTGGTCTACTTTCTTTGAGCAATAGTTTGGACCTAGTACTGCCTGTAAATAAATAAACAATAAATAAACCCAGTGCTTCCTGCCAGGGAGTCATGGCTCCAATGAAAAGCACAGAGTTTTCCATGTGCAGCTTGCCCCTGGCCTGGCCAGGTTTCAAAGGAAGCTCCCAGCACAGATTCTTGAGAAATGGAAAAATCCAAGGAATGTTGCTCTTCCTGACCCCTGCAGATTGAATTGAATTGAGAAAAAAGGATAAACATCCCAGACTCCCAGGCTGCTCTTCTCAGGCTGCCTGCACCTCCCACTGTACAGCCCTCTCCTCCTATGTAGTACCTTTCACTTTTGTAAGGTCACACAAATCAGGGACACAATCACATATAACCTACTTTGTCACAAAGCTCCAGCTCTTAAGTCAGCTGTTGTTTCCTGAAGCCCCACCGGGGCGTGCACTAAATACCAAGTTCACACCTGTACTGCACCAGGTATTGGTCCGGCGTCTCCATGCCAGCAATAGGGAAGTTTCTCTTAGATGAGAATATTAAGTTGGAATAAAATCACAGCTAAGTTGCACCAATAAAAATGTTATACTTTGTTATAATCTAGAGTTAAGGCCTGCTGAATGCAGCATGCACATTTATCTAAGGACATAGACTTAGAATAACTAGAAACCTTTGGATACCGCAGCTGTGGAAATTGTAGAGCAACAGCAGCTATTTCATGCTTTCATGGCCCCGCTTATACTGTATCTGTTTTCATTCCTTTGCTGTCATAAAAAATCGAACTTACAGGTCATTTACTAAATATATTGTTGAAATGCTTAAAGCTCCTGACTCTGATTAGTAATTGTTAGAATACAAAAATACTGTTGTCAAAAATTATAGGCAGTTCTGCCTAATTCTTATTGCCTCAGAATGCAATACTAAGCAATTGCAGAGCTTTTTCTTGTATTCTTAATTACTGAAGTAAGTAGTTGTTTTTACTGTTTTAATTTCAAAACAATACCAACAACAAACATTAAGGTAGTATTATAAAACCTTAAGTCTAAAAGTCATACGAATGAAATTGCTGTTTTATATAATGGAAATATTTCAGTAATTTAAAATTTGAAAGTTGCTATTATCAAAGAATTTTTACTTGTATGCTCAAAATATTTAAATATGCATGCCTGTTTCCTAGTAACCAAAAATCATATCATTAATTTAAGTGGTTGATATAAGATCCAATAACTAATCCTATGTTGCTTTTGTATATCTTTTCTAGTTGGTGTGCCTGCCCAAGGAAACATAAATAATAGATGTCACTTTATATTTTTCTATAGTAAAATGGCTTCAGTCATGGGTAACTTGTAGAGTACTGGAAATTTCTCAAATAATATCTACAATTATAAAGTTGATTGTTGACAATTACTAATTTCTGGTAAGATTGTTTCTAGATTTTTGTGTCTTAAAATTTGTTTTCTAGTTCCTAGATGGTGGTAGTCGTTTACAGGAATTAAAACCATTTTCTTGCCAATTACTTATGTGCTGTTATTAGCATTTGTCTTTTGCTCAGTAAACTTTCTTATATGTATTTTAAAAAGCATGAATATATAATAATTTATACACTGTAACAGGGAATTTTCATAGGAAATAAAGACTTTTCATTGCCTTTCCACTGTAATGGCCTATTTTTTTACATTTGAATTTTGTGTATAGGGCTAGAGATGCAGCTGAATGGTATAGAGTTTGCTTAGCAGTGTACCCACTAGAATTGTAAGTGTAGATAGTCTGTTATTTAGCACTTCCACTCATCATAGGTTTCCTTAGCTTATAGTCAGTTCTGTATATGTTTAATTATAACTTAATATGTATTCTTTAATAAGAGAATGACTTAAATTGATTAATATACTAATTCCAAACACCACTTTAAAAAATATATAAATGTTGGGTGGTGATGGCGCACACCTTTAATCCCAGCACTCAAGAGACAGAGTCAGGTGAATCTCTGAATTTGAGAGGTCAGCCTGGTTTCCATAGAGCATTCCAGGACAGCCAGGGCTACACAAAAATGGTGTCTCGAAAAACATGCACCAATAACTGAAAAGATTGTCTTGGATCTGGGTTAGTTTTCTGCCCTTATCCTGTTATTAAGTAGTTGTCAGCTGTGTGTTTTCTTTAATTTTCAGGCATCTCCCTGCCCGCCATGGTAAACTTTTATGGCAGACTGTCAAACTTTTCTTTGGTTTACTTGGCAAAATGTTCTAGATACCAATATTAATGTCATTATCAAGCATAAGAAGATGGTAATTGGTCCCTAGATCAGTGTTACAGAGGCTGTGAGGCATAAGCTATAACAGTACATTGATCACCTACACACTGGCCGCCTTCATAGCTTAGAGGAACAGACTTCAAAATGTTTTTGGTTTTGTGTGTGTGTGTGTGTCTATGTGTGTGTGTCTATGTGTGTGTCTTTGTGAGTATGTTTGGTAAAACTGAAAATGCTTTTCTCCTAGGTATTTTGGTCTCAATAGCTTATTAGCAATAGGAAAAATAATTTCTTTTATTTTTTGTATGCAGAAATAATTCATTAAGCTATGGTTTTTCTTGAACAAAATAATCAAATAATACTGATATTTTCTGTCAATTCCAAGTGGTTCATGACGCTCAGAATGTATTCAAAAGCTAACCAAAACCCCTGCAAAGCTGGAAATTTATCTGTGAAATTATTAATAAATCAAGTCTTTGAAACCTAAAGTTGATTGAATTTCTTTAATCAAGCACCTTGGAGCTCATAGTATTAACACTCTTAAGAAGTGCTTTGATATGTTTGAATTCTCTTTAATGATAACTTTAAAACACCAAGCTGTTTAGTGCTTGGCTTTTCAAGTCACTTTTTTAATTAATTTTTATTTAAATTAAAAACCATTTTATTTTTCATACCAATCCTAGTTCTCTCTCCCTCCTGTCCTCCCACTCCCCCAACCATCTCCCCATTCCACCCCTCATCCACTCCTCAAGGAGTGATGAGCAAAGGGGTCAAGACCATGTTGGAGAAACCCACAGCAGAAACAGCTGACCAGAGCAAGTAGGAGCTCATGAACTCCAGACTGACAGCTGGAGAACCAGCTTGAGACTGAACTAGGCCCCCTGAATGTGGGTGTCAGTTGGTAGATTGGGCAGTCTTTGGGGCCTCTGGCAGTGGAACCACTATTTATCCCTAGTGCATGAACTGGCTTTTTCTAGCCCATTCCTTATGGAAAGATACTTTCTTAGCCTAGATACAGGAGGGAGGACCTTGTTCCTGCCCCAAATGATGTGATCGACTTTGATGATCATCCATGGGAGGCCTCACTAAGTCACATTTTGAAGGCTATGCTCTTTCCATTAATGCAGTTTTGCTGTGGACTCCAGTGAAAAGTCCTTCCCCTGCAAGTTGCTATGTGTGTCTTGAAGAGGACAGTGAACACAAACTTTGTATTTGCTATGAGAAGTTCATGGCCTTGGTTACTGGTGCTCTGGGTGAAGAGTGGAGTGATTCTGTGGTCCGAATTGTCGAGAATGACAAAGTTTTCCCAAGAAGCAAGTCATCGTACCCCATGGCAGAATACACCTACTGTTGAATAAGGATCATTCTTCTAATAGACCAAGGAGAACTGGAGAGAGAAAGAGCAAGCCTGTTCACGGATATATTGTGAACAGCAATCTGAGTATTCTCAGCTTGGTTATTGCAAAACATGGGGTAGGGAGATATTCCTGGACTGGCAGATAATAATGTGCCTTGGCTGCTGGGGCCTCAAGAGCTAGCAGAATCCAAAAGCTTTCCATCTCTCAAAAGAAGATGGTGTCTGTAATTAGAAGTAATCCCTTAAACAATGGTAAGAAACCCAAGACCAAAGCACTTAAGATTGAGCACCTCGCTACTCCATGTGCCCTGTGACAGGAACACTGACATATTGTTCTAAAGAAATAATTCACTAAGAAAAACAAGGAAGACACTGCAGAATATGCTAAACTTTGGGCCAAAAAAAAAAAAAGAAGGAAGCCAGGGTAAACACCAGGAATAAATTGCTTCTAGTTCTTTGACAAGGTCAAGCCATTATTAGGTAAACTTCTCATATATGTCTGTTCATACATACATTTAACAAATTCTTACAGGTTGAATGCTGGATTGGGGGCTATATATATTTTTTTTAGATTTTGATAGTCACAATAATAGTTCCAAAAGTTTGGTTTTTACATATATTAAAAGCTAGATACTATTATTTCAGTTTTGTATATCTGATGTCTGATTAATCAAAATTATATCATACTTCTTTAATTTTCATTTTTCTATTTTCTGTATACCTACACATGTGTTAATTGGTGATTTTGGTGGTTTCTCAATATTCCACTACCACTATGATTTTTTAGTTTTTTTTTTTACATTTTGCATACTAACCCCAATTCCCTCTCCCTCCCCTTTCCCACCACCACACCTCCCTCTCCCTATTCCCACCCACCCACCCCAGTCCACTACTAAGAGGGGATAAGGCCATCTTTGAGGAGTCAACAAAATCTGGCTCACTAAATTGAGGCAAGAACAAGCTCCTTCCCCTCTACTAATGCTGAGGAAGGTGTCCCAGCATAGGAAATGGGCTTCAAAAAAGCCAGTTCATGTACCTGGGAGAGGTCCTGATGCCACTGCCAGCCCCTTGCCCCAAAAGATTGAGCCACGTAACTGTCACCCACATTCTGTCAGTTGGTAGGAATGCAGTACATAGTGACTTTAATTGACTAAGATAGACTTACTAAACTTTTAAATTCCACATAGCACACTTGCCATTGGGAAATTTGATGTCATTCTGTATCCCCACATAATTTTCAAAATAAAGCAATAAACTAAAATCATCACTGAAATGAAGCTGTTATTGAAGATAAGAGAAGTTTTAATTGAAAAATTTCCCTAATGACAACACCAAACACTTTTTTAAAAATCATAAATAGTAGGATAAATAAGAGACAATCTTTGACTTCAAAGAGGTAAGCAGTCTACTGGACACATTGATCTGTAAAAGTAAGCAATGATACCACTAGCTTTGTGGTCTATAAGTAAAGATGACAATGCTGTGTCCTGGGATTTTACAGGTGTCTTGGTTGCCTCATGGTTTCTGGCATGTGTTTTCTTAAGACTTGGTTTTGGGTGTTGTTTCGAATAAAATATCTGTTCTTGTCAACACAGCTTCGATTTTGTAACTACCCTGCATAGTAGTTTATTCTTCTACGATAACACAAAATCAGTTAACTTTTATCCTCTGAAAAAATATTACTATTAAATAAGAATACAAACCTTTGTTTGCTTTCTTGAAATAAGAAACACAAGTATGTACAAGCTGTGAGATCAAGCCCAATTAAAATTCCAGTAAATCAAAGCAAGAGAAGGGAACAGGATGCTGCTTGAGGAAAATAAAGTACTGCAGGAAATGGCCTCGAGTATTCTCATTTTTTTTCAGTACTCTGCCTAAAGTAGAGAAAAACGTGTTTTCTTTAAATTGAAAGACACATCTGATAACGATTTCAAAACATTGTGCAATCTAAAGTCAGTTTAATCTTTATTAAGTAATTATAATGAAGAATGTTTTGGTAAACAAAACAACGGTAGAAATAAACTATTTCGACTAGATACAGTTCATTTAATGTATGTTCTAATGAAACAATTTTTATATAATCATATGGCTAACAAAAAGATCTTTTCAGATAACGAATCAAGTCAGAAATAGTACAGTTGCAACTGCTATGTATAATTATAATTGGCAAAGAATAAATCCAGGATGCTATACATTTTCTAGCTAGGAAACTTCTACTTGTTATCTTTCCTGTATCTATCATGGACTTTAGACTGCGAGGCTTTTAGCAGATGACAGCCTCTTAAAATTGATCTTTGGCAAAAGTACTTCCGAATTCCAACCAAGGATTTCAGCATGAACCTAAGTTAAATTGGGTGAAGGGGTCAAGAACAGTGCATTACAAATGTGACTCATTGTGCTTTAACATGCTGAGAAGTAGATAAGATATGCCTGCTGAAATGGGAGTTTTGATTTCTGGACAGTCTCAATCTAAGAACCAGGGAGAGGTCAGAGAAAATACCTTACAAAAGTAAATGAGGCCAATAAGAAATGCCCGGCAAGCAAAGCAATGTCTTTAGACTAGAAAGTCTGTGTATTGTTTTAAAAACCTGGGCTTAACTTAACTCATAAAAGTAGATTTTATGAGTTATTACGGCTAATATTTAATAGCTAACACTGCGCATGTGCTTTAAAAGCACTGGATTAGGTGCTTTATATTCATATACAGTCAAGAACACTGATACATTACCATTCCTATTTCCAGAGATAAGGAAGCTGAGGATCAATTTTCTACATTACATGGTAAAACAAAGTTTACACTGAGGTAACCAGGTTTCAAATTCAGGGTAGTTAAAAGCAATTTAAAAATTCTGCAGGCATATTGGTGAGAATCTTGGCATCCTTTCTCCTGTTACCCTTGTATTGTCTCTGTCATTTGTCAGTAGTTAAGTGGCTTAAACTAAAAGGGAGACCAGCACAAAAATGCTTAGTTTTGATGTAAATCTGCCTCACTTCTTTGAAGCACAGCATATTGGACAATTTTCATAGGCTAAATTTCTATAGAATG